GGTTCACACCCTTCATTCTGCAGATCGACCTGACCAAGTTTCCACCGCCTCTGACTCTAGATCTAGCATACAACCCACCACACCATGCTAATTTGATCTTCACCATAACCTATGAAGTGGGCTGCTATAATTGTCCCCATTTTGCAGATGAGGAAACTGAGTCCCAGAGAAATGAAATGGTGGTGTAGCGTCTAACAGGAAAGAAGATGAGGATTCAAAGCTAGTATGGTACTAGTCACTGAGCCCCAAACAACTCTGGAAGTAGTGGGGCTTAACCTTCTTTTGGTCATGGTCCCCTTTCGCAGTCTGGTAAAACCTATGGGACCCCTTCTTACCATAATGGTTTGTTGCCTATGTTCATAACTGAAGAAAATGCTAAATTTCAGTTAGCTAGTAAAAAATAAAGATGGAATATTTCTTCTCTCATCTGTGTTCATGGATCCCCTAAAAGAGCCCTGACTCTAAGATTACCTGGTAAGTTAGAAATGGGTTAATGGAGGGTTTCCCACAGTGACAAACATTCCAGTTGTTTGATGAATTAAGCCATAAATTAAACATTTTCGTGTCTCTTCCCTCAAACTGCAGAAGCCCTGAAATCTGTTGCCTAAGCGTTGTTCAATAGAGGGCTTTGACATTCTCCAGGCAGATGTGGGATAGACAGCACCTCTATGTCACCTGTTTACTCATTGATCAAGATGGAAACTGACGCCAGCTCACTGAGCGTGTGCCCAAACAAACCTGGCCCCAGCGACTTGACCATGTTTGGGGTCACTTCTTACAAAGGTTTCTTCTGGCATTCCATGAGCATGATGCCACTTCCTCTGGTCTCCTTTATACACCTCAAATTTCCACATCTTAAAAGGAGAAGGGGGGCAGCTCAGCAACTATCCGGGGTGGAGTGGATGAGCATAATTTACACAAAATTATGACATAATATGGCAAAGTGACAATGGTCTGAGAAAGCATTTCCTGGTGGGGACAGTGGCTTTTCTATGAGAGTTGTTTTTGAAGGAAGTTGAAATATAATCCAAATCTACTTACTAAGACATCAGGGAGGTGGTTCAGGCAGGGAAAAGAGGAGGCAGGAAAGGGGATTCGATTTAATGTAAATCAGGGAACTAGTACTAAGTACCTAGTTGGTTGGGTATGGTGTGGGAGTTAGGGAGACTGGGGCTCAAGTTCTGCTTCTGATACACCCTGGCCGTGTGATTATGGGCATGGCCTCTAGGCAATGCTCTAACACCAGTGTGTTCCCTGCCAATCAGTCAGTTAAGAAACATTTGTTAAGCACCTACTATGTACAAAGCAGCTAGGTGACTCAGTGGATAGAGCACAGGGCCTGGAGTCAGGACAACTTGAGTTCAAATTTGGCCTCAGTCACTTACTAGCTATATGACCCTGGACAAGTCACTTAACCCTGTCTGCCTCAGTTTCCTCACCTGTAAAATGAGCTAGAGAAGGAAATGGCAAGCTACTCCAGTATCTTTGCAAAGAAAACCTCAAATGGGGTCACAAAGAGTCAGACGTGACTGAACAAGAACAACAAATATGCAAGGCACACTTCCCTCGGAGAAGTCTCCAGTTTATCCTGTCTATAGCTTTGCATTTAGTCATTAGACTCTGAGCCCCTCGAGGGCAGGAGCTTTTCTAAAAGTCTTTCTTTGTATCCCCAGCACTTAGCAAAGGCCTGGCACACAGTAGGGGTTTAATAAATACTTGTTACCTTGACCACAAGAAAAAGCAATAGCAAAAGATAGTGGAAAAGTTATCCTCCTTCCTTTTCCTTCAATATTTCAACCGAATGCCATCTTTGTCCACTGGTAGGTGATGGAATCCATGGAAGTAGTATGATATAATAATAACAGAGCTTTAAGGTTTGCCAAGTACTTTATAAATATGATCTCTTTTGCCCTCATAACAACTCTGGGAGGTAGACGACATTATTATCCTCCTTTTACAAATGAGGAAACTGAGGCAAGATAGAAGGTAAGGGGTTTGCTCAAGGTCACATAGCTAATAACTAATAAGTGTCTGAGGCCAAATTTGAACTCAGGTCTTCCAGACTCCAACTGTGATGGTCTATCAAATGCATCACCTAACTGCCCCATAGTGACTAGAGCACTGAACTGCTTGTCAAGAAGAACTGGGTTCGAATCCTGTTTCCAGTAATGGTTGGCTTTGTGACTGTGGGTAACTTAATCAACTTCTCCATAAAAAGGGAATGCGGTGTCTGTAGTGCCTGCCTTCCCTCAAGGGGTTGGTGTGAGGATCTACTGCAGTGGGCCCCCTGGCAAGGCTTGGACTGGCTTTGCAGACCCTGGGAGTTGTAGTTCTCTCCAGTTTGGAAAGAGGAAGCTGACACTGGATCAGGACTGGAGGGCAGGAGTTCTGAGCCTCTCCCAAGAGGAAGACAGAAGTGGAGGGGTTCCCCCACCCCACCCCAACAGCCCATACAGATAAAGCAGCAGACTCATCATGGTGACCTGTGGTGGTGATATTTACAGCTATCTGTCCAAGCCTTCATGGAACTCCATAAGAGATTACCACCAAACAGACATGCAGAGGAGTATATGACTGTCTTTCTTTCTTTCTTTCTTTCTTTCTTTCTTTCTTTCTTTCTTTTTCTTTCTTTCTTTCTTTCTTTCTTTCTTTCTTTCTTTCTTTCTTTCCTTTCTTTCTTCCTTCCTTCCTTCCTTCCATTTCCTTCTTCCTTCTTCTTTCCCTTTCTTCTTTCCTTCTCTTCCCTTTCTTGTTCTCATCTTTCTTTTTCTCTTCCTTCCTTCTTTTCTTTCTTTTTCTCTCTTTCTTTCTTCCTTTCTTTGTTTCTTTCTTCCTTCTTACCTTTCTTCCTTTCTTTCTTTCTTTCTTTCTTTCTTTCTTTCTTTCTTTCTTTCTTTCTTTCTTTCTTTCTTTCTTTCTTTCTTTCTTTCTTTCTTTCTTTCTTTCTTTCTTTCTTTCTTTCTTTCTTTCTTTCTTTCTTCCTTTCTTTCTTTCTTTTTCTCTCTCTCTCTCTTTCTTTCTGCCTTCCTCCACACCCAGAGTGCTGAGAGAATAGCAGACCAGAGGACCTGGAGGTCCTCACCCTCACTTCTTGCTTTACTTCAGTGGGATGTGCTGGGCACTCGTCATTTCTAAATAAAGATTCTGTTAAATTCTGTACTTGTTAGAACTCATCTGATTTCTCATGAACACCTGTGGCTGAGCCTGTCCTGTTTCCTGATGTTCCTTTGTTCATGGCATGAGGGTGTGAAGCGGCCTCAGGAGACACCAAGGATAGCATGACCTTTCCTAGCATAGGCTTGGGATCTCAACTGCCAAGCCCATTGCGCCCTAACTGGGGGGGCAAAATCACAAGCCATTCATGACTACGCTTCCAGGGACAGAATTACTATAACCTTGGGTTGTTTAAAAATCATCAGATACAACTCAACATAATGACAAAGGATTACCCTAGCATGTTTCACTGGAATACAGATCTATACTCAAAGGGGAGCTCAGAAGTCATCTAGTACAACTCTCTTATTTTCACAGGAAAGGAAACTGAGGCCCAGGTTCAGTGATTTGCCCCACATCACAGCATGGGGGATTGACCCCTGGTTCTCCAATTTTTGAGCCAGTATTCTTTCCTCTGTACCATATTTTGACAAGAAGATAGCATCCTGACTTAGACTGGGTTCTTGAGCAGTGGAATGACATGTAAATGCAATATATCAGGAAAATTTGTCTGGCAGCAGGATGAAGTATGGACTGGGTAGAGAAGAGACTCAAGGCAGAGAGACCAAGAAGGGAGACGTGACAATGATCTGGTGATGAAGTAATGAGGATTAGGAAAAGAGCAACAGCCGTGTGGATGAAGACAAAGAGTGACTCTAAGAGCCATTTCCAAGAAAGACTTGGTGACATTTAAGACATGAGGTGAAGCAAAAGGAAAAGTCAGGGGTTTCTTTATGGTTTTTAGCCAGTAAGGCTGGAAGAATAGTGGTATTGGAGACAAAAATGGGGCATCTTGCTTTGGGAGGAAGATGATGGGTTCAGTTCAGGACACATAGTTCGAGATGATTATGGGATGTCCAAATGGAGATCTCTTACAAAACAATTGAAAAGAAGGGTCAGATATGTATATTCAGAAGTTATTAACATAAAGGTGATGGTTGAAGCCATCACCTCATGAAGAGATGAGTCTATGAGAATGAGAATAGAGTGATGGAGGCAGAATCTGAAGATGGAACCGTGAACATTCAGCTTCTATCTTTCCAGGTTGAGTGCACATAACTCCCTTTCATGAACTGGCTATTCCACATGCATGAAATTCCATTTTCCATCTCTGTACCTTGGCAATCACTGTCTACCATGCCCAGAATGCCCTCCTTTCTTAATTCTTCCTCTTAGAATTTCTGACTTCCTTTTAGGCCCAGATCAGGTGCCTTGTACATGAAGTCCTCCCTGATGTTCTACCCCCTCTAGGGATAATTTCCTGACTTCCACTCACACTGGAAGGCTGGAGCCCAAGAAAGTGGCTGATTGCTTCTCCCCTCAGAGTTTCAGGGCAATTGCAAAGGGCTGAAGTTTCTAACACTGTAAATCTTGAGCCCCTACTGGTAAGCCCCCTATTGATTATCAGCCAATCTTAATAGCTTTTAGAAAGGGTATTTACAAATGTGGTATAGTAAGAAGTGTTGATATAAAACATCTCTCTAAAAATCAAGGGCACATACTCCCACAAATACACATATATTCATGAGAATAGTGGGATCAGGATGGTGTTAAAGCATCTGAGATACATACGTGACAAAGAGATAACTTGAAACCACTAGATACTAGAAGTTCTTTTTTGAGTTATTAGTCAGCATTCTTTTCTGGGCAAGGAGTCCCATTCCTTGAAGCTTCTTCCCTCAAGTGGCTGATTTTCTATCCATGTGTTTTTATGTTTTTCCTTGGTATGTTTCTTTGTTTCAAGATGAATCATTGTCTCCTACTAGCCTCTCCAATGACATGGCCAGGGGTGGAGGAGAGAGGAGAGGAGGGAGGAAGAGAGAGGGAGAAACTCAGTCCTTTCCCTCCCCAAGAAGATCCTCCCTTGAGAAACTGACTCCAGATCTTTACCTGGAATACTCGGCTCCCAAATACGAATCAGAGTTGTCTATTGCTAAAGAACTCTTCTACTTTTCCAGGAGGTAGGAAAGGCTTCCAAGAGACTTAGGAGCCTGCTGAAGAGCTTTCACTTTTCTCTTAGTCATCTAGAGGATAATCTGGAAGGTGAGAATGAGAAAGAACATGCCATGGTACTGTAAGTTACGGAACAGTTGCTGGTTGGTACTCATAGAGGCAATTTTCTCATTGGGAGCTCCCTAGATCAGTGGAATTACAAATCTGCTAAAAAAAAAAAAAGGTAAAGGAAGTAGGTGAAGAAATTTGGCTTTCACAATGAAGGAGAGATTATATATAATTTTATATATATATGTGTATATATATATATACATATGTATGTGTGTGTGTGTGTGTGTGTGTGTGTGTGGAGAGAGAGAGAGAGAGAAACAGAGATAGAGATGGAAGGAATGGTAAGGAAAAGTAAAGTGGGGTGTGTGTGTGTGTGTGTGTGTGTGTGTGTGTGTGTGTGTGTGTGTGTGTTTTAAGATAGTAGAGGTTTATGGGGCAGCTAGGTGGCACAGTGGATAGAGCTTCAGCCTTGGAGTCAGGAGGATCTGAGTTCAAATCCAGCTTCAGACACTTGATACTTACTAGCTGTGTGGCCTTGGGCAATTCACTTAACTCTGATTGCCTCACCAAAAAGCAAAAAAAGAAAACAAAAGATAGTAGAGGTTCAAACATATTTAAAGGGGAGAGGGGAAAAAGTCTATGGAGAGGGAATTTGTAGATGCTAGTTAGAAGAAGGGCAGCCTGGCCTAATGAATAGTCAGCCTTAAAGTCAGGAAGACCTGGATTCAAATCCTGTCTATGACAAATACTATCTGTGTTACCTTGGGTAAGTCATAACTCTCTAAGATGATAAGTTGGATCTAGATCAACAAGGGAAGTTCTCTACACCAGTGGAGAACTAGGTCCAAAAGTTAAAAGGGGAAAAACATAGAAAGAAAGAGGGCAAGGTTTGTAAAGGGTTTGCCCGGATAACTTAGGCAAGCTGGGTAGTGAGTCCAGAATCAGCCTAGAGGAAAGAATGATCCTAGCTGATCCTAAAAACACAGTTAGTGTTCAAATACAAACAGTAGTTAGTTCATAAGAATCCTTCTTTCCTTCACACACACACACACATATACACACATATATATACAAATATCCACAGATACACATGTGTGTATATAAATACATACATACATGGGTTAGAATTGGCAGGTCCCCTTTTATAATCCTGCCACTTTCATTTTCCTCCCAATCCCAACTCTATCCTCTCAGCCTACAGGTTATCCATTTCTGATTTTTTTTTCTCCTTCAAGAATATTCTCTCCTTCATGTTTATAAAAATGTCAGAGATTGAAGAGCACATGGCATGATTTGATTCAAAATATTAAACAGGTCAGGAAAAGATGGTGAAGATCACAGAAATCACAAACTTGGGACTTTTAGACCCTAACCCCCCTAGAAATGGCTCCAGGGAAGAGACACTTGTGGGAACAGATCCTAGAGATGAGAATCTACTGCCTATTTTTGAGTCTACATGGTAGTGTTTGTTTTAGAGAGGAGAGAAACTTCTTTGGAGTCTGGAAGAAGGAATGATGAGGAAGAGGGGGAGGATGTAACAACAAATTCTTACTACATATATTTTTCTACAACATTTTACATTTTATATTATTTCACTTGATTCCTGTAACAGGTAGGAAGCTCAGACACCATTTTCTTGATTTTATAGATGAGGAAAGAGGCAGCTGGGTTCGTACATAGAGTGCTAGGCCTAGAGTCAGAAAGACCTGGGTTGTAATCTTGCTTCTGACATATACTAACTGCGTGACTTGAGAAAGCTTTTCAATCTCTCCAAACCTCAATTTCCTTTTTTGTAAAACGTGAGCCCTCTGAAATCCCTCATAGGTCTAGCTCTGTAATCCTAAAATGACCTTAATATGTACAGTCTGGTTGGTACATCATGAACTCAAAAAATACACCAGTAGAAGTAATAACACCAATGAGTAATTCACAGAATGATTCTTAAGTTATTTACAGAGTAAGCCTGTAAAACAAGAAGTCATATTCTAAGTCTGCGCTTCTCATTCCATGGTTCTCCCCCTTCTTCCCCCACCCACATAATATTTAATCTTTACCATTACATAACTACATTAAACCAGTGCTCAGTATGTGACATCAATGTAAACAAGTTATTGATGCTTCCAAAATAGGAAATGAAGGGTGGAAAGGACACAGGCTCCAATTACAATAATTTCATACAGAAGTTTAACCAGAGTAAATAAATCGCCATAACGAGGAGACCAAAAAAGCCTAGAAACCGACTCAGTCAGGAAACCCTTGATCTCTTTGCCAAGAGTAAAGATATGGCAGCCAAGATCAACAAAAGATTAGAATGTTACAGGGAAGGATAGTGGAAGATTATAAGCTGTATTACCTTGTGAAGTAGAGACAAGTAGTGGAGGGGAAAACAAATTTAAAGAGAGACCTAACTAATCATCTCAGGGTACTTAAGGATGAAACAGGAAGAAGGACAACACACAGATGAAAAATAGAAAAGATCTGTAAATTTCATTATGGTAAACTCTTTTCCCCCTTCAAGAAGAGTTAGAGCCATAACATTAGGACTCTAACCTTACAGTCTTTGAAGTTTTGCCAGAAGGAGTAGAAAAATGGCATGGGGTTGGGGGGAACACCACAAAGGTGGGACAGACAGTTGAACTGGACCAAGTCCAAGTACACATGGTAGGGATAGGAATGTAGAGGACATGTAGTTTTAGGGTCATTGAGGGATTCAATCTCCAGTTATAAGAAAGAAGGGAAAATACCAAAGCAGCAGGAGGAAAAATTTGGAGTTTGTTAACAACAACAACAAATGCAACTGAGAGAATGTCAGTAATCGTTTAGTTCTGTTTTCTCAGGTGTACACATTTTATAAGAATAATTTCCATACGTATTGAAACATCCTTGTTGAGGGTAAGGAAAAGACAGACTTTCATAAACCATGTTCCACCGTAGGCCACAAAATTACAATCACACAATTAACATGATTAATCTGTAAGGAATGCAAAAGTAAGGTCTAGCTGATGTCAAGCCCACAAGGAACATAAAGAGCAAGAAGAAGGGTTTGAATCTAAGTTGTTCGACTAAATCCAACACTTTCCACTACCCACTTCTGTAGGATCTGATGAGTTGTATGGCATAAACACAGACAAAAACTCATCTGGAAAAAAAAACTCATCTGTACATAGTACAGATTGAAGGGGTCACCATTAGACAACAGTTTGAAAAAGGTAAAGGGATTTTAAGAAATGTCTATGAAGCCAATCTATGAAGCAAAGTCAACCAAAAAAGCTTTTGCATATATTACTAGAAACACAGAGTCTGAGCTGAAGGCGCTTTAAAGAGCTTCTCACTGAGCCCCCTCATTTCTGATGTGAGGAGACCCAAGCCCAGGGTCACCCAGGCAGTAACAAAGCTAGTTCCTTTGAGGTCCCATCCAATACTTTCCCCAATAAACCACATTGCTTCTCTAGGACTCTGGTGCCCAGAACAAGAGAGGTGAAAATCTTATTGTACTCTGCCTCAACCAGATGACTAGAAAATCTGAATATGGTGTTTGGTTCCAGGCATCACTTTTTAAAAAATTAAATTTTATTGTTCTCTTTTGTTTTTACATTACCTTAATTTCCTAACATGTCTTTCCCCAGAGAGTCATCCCATATAACAAAGGATTTTTAAAAACACACAATTCAACAAAACTAACTGATACATCACCTGAGTCTGGTATCTCATGAAGCGTCCTACTGCTATAGTTCCTCACGTCCGCAAAGGAAGGAGAGAGGTACATTTTCTTATTTTTCTTTGGGGCCAAACTTCATCTTCATAATTTTATAACATTCAGTTTGGGCTATTTTTTCTCCTGATATAGTGATTGTTCTTTTTTCTTGGACATTGTTAAACTCATTGTGTGTTCTTTCCCTGGTTCTGCTTACTTCACATTGCAACAGTTCAGTCAATTGACCAATCAATAAACATGTATTAAGCACCTACTATGTGCCAGGCACTGGGCACAAATCCTCCCAAACTTCTCTATGTTCTTATTAGTTCTTTTTTCTTATAGTGCAATTAAGAAATTTAAGTCCCATTATGTTCATGTGCTACAATTTATCTTGCCATTTCCCGATCAGTGGGCATCTATTTTGTTTCCAAGTCTTTGCTACTACAAAAAGTGCTGCTGTCGATATTTTGATACATACAAGGCCTTTGTTTTTCGTCATTGACTTCCTTGGGATTGACCACGCCTGGCAGTGGGAGCTCCTGGAGGTTGATGAATATGGAAATCTCAGTCATTTGGGGGCAAAATTTCAAATGGTTTTCCCAAGGGGTGAGACCAATTGACAGATCCTCCAGCAATGTCCCAATGCCAGAACCACCGTAATGTTTTAGAAAGACATTGACACACTAGAAAATCCAGAAGGCGACAAAACTGGAAAACATGTTACTTGAGAATCAGATGTAGGAACTGGGAAGGGTTAGCCTGGGGAAAAGAAGACTTAGGTGAGGCGTAAGAGAACTGCTTTCAAGTATTGGAATGGATGTTGAGGGGAAGAGCAATGGGACTTCGGCTCCGTTTGTCCCTGGAGGGCAGAACAAGGACCTGGGAGCAGAAGTTTCAAAGAGGAAGACCTGGACTAAATGGAAGCAAAGGCTTCTTCCCAGAACCACCCAGAAGTGCAATGGGGAAGCCATTAGCTAGATGTCACAAGCAGAAGCTGTTGGGCATATTGAAAATAATATTCCTTCTCCAGGTTCCGGGTGGAATAGATAACTTCTAAGGTCCCAGCTCCCCCATTGGATTGTAAGCTCCTTGAGGACAGGGACTGTCTTTTGCCTCTCTTTGTATCCCTAGTGCTTAGCACAGTGCCTGGCACATAGTAGGTGCCTAAAAAAAGTTTGCTGACTGACTTTCCATCTCCCAAGATTCTGTGGTGTGGTTTGGCATAGACTGTAACTTTCTATAATCCAAGAACATCCGAAGATTCTGTGATTTCATCAGCCTGGGGAGATCCTGGTGTGGAACTCAGCTTACCAATGCAGATCACAAACTGTCTATAACTTAGCAGATGAATTCTAGGAAGTTGTCGGAGGCACAGAAAACTTAAATGACTTACTTAGGGAACACAGTCAGTCAGTCAGTCAACAAGCATTTCTTAAGGATTTATTTTGTACAGGGCATTATATAAAGTGCTGTGTATACAAAGAAAGGCAAAAACTCACTTCCAGCTTTCAAGTATCAGTATTCTAATGGGGGAGACAACATGCAAATGATTCTGCAGATACAAGGTGTAAACTGTGCAAACAGAAGGATGTGGTTGTGTTGTGGTTTGTCTTTTGTTCTGAAAGAGGACCATGACATCAGGGAGATGATGATATGACTTGCAATTGACTTTGATCTGAGTGAGGGAGGAAACAGAGGTATTGGGTGGTGACCCAAGCTAGGCTCACGGTACAGCAAGATTGGCATTAGGATTTGTAACACTGATTTATTATACCATTTCCAGTCAAGTGAGCCTTGGTCACTTGGCACAATCAGATCTTTGAAGAGCAAAGAAAGCTAAGTCATGATTCCTTCCACTGTAGAACTGCCCCTACAGAGTGGTGGTTCTCTGAGCAACTGGAGGAGGCTTCTGGGAGATAAAAAGAGACTGAACTGGAGATACCTTTCGAACAGCCTTGGACTTGCAGCCCTTCTAAATAAGCCAAACCCTACATTCTGTAGAAAGAAGGAAATGTTTTATTGCTAAATTCTCAGAATTTAGTCAGGAAATCATTTGTGACTCAGAGGGAATGATAATACTATCTGTCTTGAACCACTTTCTGCTTCTGATCATTCTTATGCAATCTGTCAAGGTTGAAGTGAACTTCTCAGTTTTTATCTCTCCCTCCTTTGGGGTGTTTGACCGAGGCTGCCTTCCCCTTTGCCTGGCTTGGTTTGATAACTCCTCTGTGTCAGAGTCCAGAAGGCAATGCTCTTCTGTAGACTAAAAAAAAAAATAACCCAGCATTAATAATCAGGCCCCTTTGGGCGAGCTTAGGAGACTCCTCTCTGCTGCATAAAGTCAGAGAATCTCATCTAGTATTTCATCCTGGGAGGATAAGACACAAAATTTGGGGATGTCCATGCCTGCCAACCTCCCACCAATTTAAAGCAAGACGCCTAGAAGAATCTTTTTCTAATAAGACAAATAAAATAAGGTTTTTGCTGTTTCAGTGAGTATATTGACCTATTTGCTGTTCCTCATCAAAGAGATTCCGTTTCCCCACCTCCACAGGCTGTCCAGCTTGCCTGAAATGCATCCCTTTCTCACCTCAATAAGAATCTGTTCAGTCACATAGATTCTTTGTGACCATAGCACACCACTACCGTCCATTGGATTCTCTTGGCAAAGACACTGGAATGGTGTGCCACTTCCTTCTCCAGCTCACTTGACAGATGAGGAAACGGAGGCAAACAAGGTGAAGTGATTTGCCCAGAATCACACAACTGCTAAGTGTCCAAGGCTGGACTTGAACTCAGTTCTTCCTGATTCTAGGTCCAGATCTCTCTCCACTGAGCCTCCTGTCTCTTTTCAAAGCTTGGCTTAAGTGTCACCTCCTACAGGAAGTTTATTTACCCTTGGAAATGACTTGGACTCTCCTTAGTATCTACTCTGAAATGATTTTATTGGTATATACATTGTTGCCTTCCAACAAAATGGCAGTAGCTTTTTTCACTGGTATCCCTAGGGTCTAACACACAGTAGGTGCTTAATACGTGCTGGGGGGTTTCCTAACACATAGTAGGTGCTTACTATGTGCTTTTTGAGTGAATGAATGGTCATTGCTCAGGTCTCAATGGTGTGAGTTTTCTTTCCCTGTATTAGCCAGGTAAACTGGCTTGGCTTAGATTAAATTCAACACTTATCCCAGATATTCCCTGACTTGATGTGCTTGTAACATTCAAATATCAGTTTGGTCAATGGGAAAATTCCACCTGGGCATTTGCCTCCCTCTTTCCCACTTGACTGGCCATGGGGAAGAGGCAGGTCTGTCACCTGACTGACTGGCCTGCCCTCATAGGGGTACCCAAAAAGGTGCCTTGAACTGTGTTTGGAGATGCTGCTGTGACCTCTCTAGGAATATTATGACCACACTCAGCAATATTATGAACACCTGAGTAGGTCAGGTGATAACTCCCTGGCCTGTGCAGTTTCCGGCCTGGTGTATGGGAGCAGTGCAAAGCGGACGGTATCTCATCCACAGAAATGGGTGTGGGCTGGAACCCGGGGGGGCAATGCAGGGATTCTCAGCTAAGGGACTGCCCTAGAGAGAGGTGTCCTCAGCCTGGACAGGAGAACAGAGCATGTCAAACATCATTCCCTTTGCTGCAGCAACTTTGGGGGGTAAGGAGGGGGGAAAGGGGGGAAAAAAAAGATCAAATTAGATACTAAGTGTAAAGCACTTAGCACAGTCCCTGGCACATGTAAATGCTATATAAATGATAATTATTACTATTGTTGGGGCAGCTTGGTGGCGCAATGGATAGAGTCACCAGGCCTGGAGGCAGAAAGCCTCGTCTTCCTGAGTTCAAATCTGGCCTCAGACATTGACTAGCTGTGTGACCCTGGGCAAGTCACTTCACCCTATTTGCCTCAGTTTCCTCATCTGTAAAATGAGCTAGAGAAGGAAATGGTAAACCACTCCAGTACCTTTGCCAAGAAAATCCCAAAAGGGGTCATCAAGAATGGGACACAACTGAAAAATGACCAAACAACAAAATGATTATTGTTGTTATTGTTATTATTAAAATGTAATTGGGAAGTATTTAACGAAGCCAATAAAATACAATAGAATATAGATCATGTAAGTAACTATGCTGGCTGCAGCAATCCTTCCATACGGTTTTGTTTCCGCCTTCCATTCAAGTTTGACACCAATGCCTGAGAACATTGAAGGCATGGCATGTGTTGACTGCACATGAACTCTGCTCCTACTGTAGCCCATCTTTATAGTCTGGAGTCAGTGGGTGGCACGTACCTATGTAACCCATGACTGGGTGGGAGTGGAGAGCAGTCCCCTCCCACAAGGGGAGTCAGGCTTTTCTCCTACTCTGGCTCATTTACCCCACCCCAAAGTTTCAGAAAAAAATCCCCACAACAAAGCTTATCTGTGACTCACATTGAAGGACTCTGTAAAAGGGATTAATAGGGTTTTTGCTCAAAAGGTATTTGATGTACAACTAGAAAGGTATTTGATGTACAACATAGATAAGGTATAGAACATTATTTATTTCCTCTACTTCAAGATAAATGTTCAAAATACAAAAGATGATAAGCCATCACCATCATTATATTCTCTCCCAAAGGTAAAAGCACTTCATGGGACTGCAAGACAGATGCTTCACTTTATCTCTGACCTGTACTGACCTTCTGGATAGACAGGTCATGTGGCTTGGGGAGTGGGAGGGGGAGGAGGGGGAGGAGAAGGGGAAAAGCCTTTATCGAGCACCTACTATGTACTAGGCACAATGCTGAGTACTTTACCAATACTATCTCATTTGATCCTCATAACAACTCTGGGAGGTAGGTGCTCTTATTATCTCCATTTTCCAGTTAAGGAAACTGAGGCAGATAGCAGTTAAGTGACTTTCCTAGGGTCACACAGCTAGTGTCTGAGGCAGATTTGAACTCAGGTCTTCCTGACTCCAGTTCCCAGCACTCTGTGCACTATGATGCCACCCATCCACAGAATCCTTTGTGCTTTCGGAGTCCTTTCTGAGTCAGGTTGCTTCTCATGGCAGTGACATGACTTCTTCCCTCAGAAGTAGTTAGCTTCAGGAAGTCTCTCCTGCTGGACAACCACCCCCAACTCAGTAAGCCACTTGGAAGGTGGCCACCAAGACTGGAAATGTCCATCTTTCAGGGTCACTTCTCAGTCACCTGCGCTTAGGGAAAGAAACACAAAGCAGACGAGAAAGTCAGGGATTCGAGGTTCAGTCTCAAAACCTGCTTCCACTGTTTTCTACTCTGATTGATCAAATGAGATAAAGTACTTAGCCTAGCGCCTGGTGCTATACAGGCTTGTTCTCTTCACCCTCCCTTCTCAGCGACATATTTTAGGAAAGACATTTATGTGTGGGAGAGAATTTCCAGAGAAAGGCAACAAGAAAGGTGCAGGACCCAAAGATCTCCATTCTATGCCCTACTACGTTCTTATACACACCATACATGGGCAACAGCATGCAGCCTGGAGAAAATACTATGCTGCCTTTCCAGCACCTCTCAAATGAAAGAGAGTCTAAGGTTCTCTCCTTTCCTTTCTAACCATAGCTCGCCCCCCTCCCTCAGCATGTTCCTTCCCATAAGGTTTAGATTTTCAGGGTTTTCAGTGGGTGCATAGACTTTTAAAAGCCCCAGAGGCAGAATGAGGTCTACATTTTCAGATAGGGCCCATGGATCAGTCTGTCATATGTACTTGGCTGCCATGGCTGCAGAGGGGAAGGGAGAGAAATACCTTCCTTCCTCATCTCCTAACAGAAGTTCAAGATAGAACTGGTAGAATCCCAAGCTGCAAGTTCAAAATGGTGTCAATAGAGAGACGGAGCAATTAGCCTCTCTTTTTGTAGCCTATCCATAGGGAGGCTCTGCTAATCATCTCTAACGCAGACCCCCCAGTCATGGGAGTCTATAAGGGGTTGCTAAATCATCCCCAAAAGACTCCTTGCCCACCCCCACAGAACCGGAGTGTATCCTCCAGGGAGGTACCACAGCCCAGAAAATCAGGAGATCTTCCTGGATTATCCTCCTACACATACCTCTTCTTCTGTGACCTCATGGATGTGTGTATACATGCATATATATATATATATATATGCATACATATAAATATATGCATGCAAGTACACATGTATGAAATATGTATATATATATATATATGTGCATGCTTGGGTGTATATATGTCTGGATCCGTGATTTCATCATCAAAGAAATTCCCCATACCAATGCATATTGGCAATCACTCAGACAACTTAGAGTTGTCTGGGGAGACATGTGGGGTAACAAGAGAGTGACTTGCTTGGGTCACATGACCAGTTTGTGTCAAGCTAGATTTGAGTCAAGGTTATGGTGATTATGAAGCCTCCTGGCTCTCTGTGCCCTCTGCCATTAGGATTTTCCTATTCCCCCTTTTCTCTTCCCTTCTCCCACTCCTTCTGATGCCTTTTGTCTTTGTATACCCAGGCCCTACATAATCCCTGCACTTAGTAGGTGCTTAGTAAGTACCAATTAGCATGGCATGACAAACATGACATGCACAATGATTTCTAGTAACATCCAAGATATTTGCTCCCAGCAGGGCAAATGCTAGGCAAAATTACTTTTCCCAGCATCACCAGCTATAAAAGCCAAATTCAAAACTTATTTCCAAGGCAGCAGCTCATAAAAAAAAAAAAGATCTGGTGGTTTTAGTGGACCAAAAACTCAATATGAGTCATCAGTGTGACATGGTCACCAAGAAAGCTCATGTAACCTCAGGCTGTTAAAGAGAATCATAATACCCAGGCTTAGGAAGGTGACAGTCCAGGTTGTACTCTGCCCTAGTCAGGACAACATTAGAATATTGTTTTTACTTCCCATTAATCAAATAAAATAATATTCCTCAAGTGCTTAGCACAGTGCTTAGAACACAGTAAGTGCTATATTAATCCTCATTCTCTTCCCTTCTCAGCGACATTTTAAGAAGGACATTTGTATGGAGGAGATAATGCCCAGAGAAGGGCAGCTAAGATGGTAAAGGACCCATAGCTTAAATATTTCCCTTTTATGCCCTGCATCTCTTGGCAGAGAGGTGGTAGACTACAGGGGCAAAATGAGGCATACATTTTCAGACAGAGCCCAAGGACTAATGTTTTGCATAACTATTTCAAAGGCAGGGATATAGAGGGAAGACATTGGGAAGTGACAGGAATATTTTTTGAAAGAATATCAATAAAACCCTTTTTGAAAATAAAACCAAATTTCCTTTTCCCCACTCTAGTGCCCCTCAGAGGCTCAGAGCCAATGATTGCTAATTGCTAACATAGGATCAGATTTCTTCCTGGGGTGGAAATTCCCTGTGTAATAGCTGAAGGATTTATTTACTAACCTGGCCTCCTTTGCTTGTCAAGAAAAGGCTATGAGATGCTGTGAAAGCCCATGTAACAGAAACCCTAACTGTAAGGTAGAGCTCAGACATAGATACTTTTTAAAAAAAAAAAAGCTTGCTTGCTTGCTTTCTCTCTTTCTCTCTTTCTCTCTTTCTTTCCTTCTTTCTTTCTTTCTTTCTTTCTTTCTTTCTTTCTTTCTTTCTTTCTTTCTTTCTTTCTTTCTTTCTTTCTTTCTTTCCTTCTTTCTTTCCTTCTTTCTTTCTTTCTTTTTCTCTTTCTTCTGTCTGTCTGTCTCTCTTTCTTTCTTTTTTTCCAGTTGCCACACAAACATACCTTGTCCAGATTGGTCTTAGGGAAATGGTGACATCCTGTGGCCATCTGGAGCACGATAGTTTCAGAAGCAGCCACCATGAGCTTCCTCATTGCTAGAAGCCTTATTAAAAATCTAGTATTTTAGAGTCAGTTGGGCCAGGAGGTTTAGTGGTAATTGGAGCATTGGAGCTAAAATCAGGGCACCTTGTTCAAATCCTGGCTGTCCTCCTTATGATCTGTGTTACCTTGGACAAGTCATGTCTTCTCAGTACCTCAGTTTCCTCAACTGTAAAATGAGGTGTGCCTCTGAGGTACCGTCTGGCTTTAAATGTGTGATTCTGTGTTAGCAAGCTTCTACCATGACCCTTTATTTAATAGATGAGAAAGAGAAGCCCAGAGAGGAACAATTATGTGAGTTGAGTTAGAGTCAGACTTAACTTTCCTCTAAAATAAATTGTCTCTGAGTAACAGCTGAGTCCCTCTCAGGCCGTATAAAGATTCAGGTTATGTATATTTGGTATATACTTACATGTGCACATACTGTGTCCTCCAATAGAATCTAAGCACCTTGAGGGCAAGGATTGTTTCATTTTGGTTTTGTATTCTGAGCACCTAGTCTGGTACCTGGAACTCAGTAGGTGGTTAATAAATGCTAGTTGATTGATTGCTTGATTGGTTCAAAACCTGCCTTTGACACTTACTAGGTGTGTGATCATAGGCATATCATGACCTCTCAGAGCCTAAATCTTCTCATCTGAAAAATGGGCATAATAATACCCAGGGTAGCATTGTTAAGGCAGTATAATATAGTGAATAGAGAGTCAGTCTTGGAGACATGAAGCTCTGGATTCAAGTCTTCTCTCTGACACATACTGGCTATGTGACCTTGGGTAGGTTACTTAATTTCTCAGTGTCCCAGGCAATCCTCTAAGACTCTAATTTGTGATGAAGGTACCAACTTGTATGGATAGAGGAAATTTCCTCTCTGGAAATTCCCTGTATCATTGACATCACAGGTCTTGTCTAATAATTTTTTTAAAATGCTTGCAGTACCTAACTCACTGGATTGTTGTATGGCTCAAATGAAATAATGTGTGCAAAGTAACATGGACTATCAGTTCCTTGAGGGCAAGGATTATTAATTTTTTTTTGTCTTTGCATTCTGAGCACAGAGTCCAGCATACAGTAAGTATTTAATAAATGTTTCTTTGTTCATTAATTGATAAAGGGCTTTGCAAACTTAAAGATGAGATAAACATGTGTAGTAGCAGTAGTAGTAGTAGCAGTAGTAGTAGTAGCAGTAGTAGTAGTAGTAGTAGTAGTAGTAGTAGTAGTAGTAGTAGTCTAAACCTGTGATTTCATTGTTGTTAGGAACTTCTGGTGAGAAAAAGGTTCCCTTTGTTAGTGCAGATGGCCACCTGCAGGTGGACAAAATGCAGATGGACACCTGCTCTGCAACGTAACAGTTTTAGAGAGTTTTCTGGGGCATTGAGAGGTTAAATGATGTGCTCATCACATGGATAATGTGCCAAAAATAGGATGCCAACTTCTACTCTTTACCCATGTTTCAATACCACCTCTCATTTAAAAAACTTTTTTCCTCTTTCTCCTCTTCCTCAGTTTCAAAATCCAGGGCTTTAAAAAATATATGTGCCCCTGAAAACCCTGCAAATCTAAACCTTATGGGAGGGAACATGCTGAGGGGGATTATGGTTGGAAGGGAAAGGAGAGAACCTTAGATTCTCTCTCATTTGAGAGGTGCTGGAAATGCAGCATGGTATTTTCTGGAGTCTACATGTTGTCGCCCATGTATGGTATGTATAAGAACATAGCAACTCTACTTTCAAATGCTGAGCACCACAGTACATCAGAAATCTCCCTGTTGAGGGTCATCCTCCCTGCTAGGTGAGCCAGTTTGACCCCTGTTTGCCTCAGTTTCCTCATAGCAGACAGAGTGGTAGACCTGGAGTCAGGAGGACCTGAGTTTAAATCCAACCTCAGATATTGACTAGCTATGTGACTCTGGGCAAATCACTTAAACTTCTGCCTCAGTTTCCTCAACTGTAAAATGGGGATCCTGGAGAAGGAAATGGCGAACCACGCCAGTATATTTGCCAAGAAAACCCCATAAAAATGGGGTTATGAAGAGTTGGATGTGATTAAACAACTTAACAACAGCAACTGTTCTGAACTTTGAAAGGAAGAGATAGGGAGAGGTATTGAGAAAGGGAAGTGGTGGAACTCTTTTTAAAAAGCGATTTCTCGTATCCATTAAAGTAAATAATTTGATTTCCCCGTTTCCAGTTTCACCATTAAAGTTGATACACTATCAGAGCCATAACTAGGCAGGGGCAACTGGATCTTTGTCCCACAGCACCCGATGTCCGAGGAGTACATTTCCTCTCCATTCCCTCCTCGCCAGTTGCAGCCTCCCCAACAGTGGCCCCAGAGTAACTACAAAAGTAGTCATTATACTCTACAACA